GTCTCCTCTTACTTGCTTAAATAATAGCCTGTATTCGTACTTATGATCGTTATTGCAATATTTTGTTAAAGTTGTTAAGCTCAAATATTTAACGATGCTGTAGGGGAATTTCCACGGATATTTTGCAGTCGTGGAAGCCGCAAGAGGCTTATTCAATAATTAAATTAAGAATTAAGATACATAAGAAAATTCAAATAGGGCAATCGTTGAATTTTCACGGCTTTTTCTAATATTAATAAATATTCAATGTGTGAAAAATGTTTTCCTTCTTATCGAAATATTCTTGTTCACTATACTTTTTGTTATTGCTATTATTTTTTACTAGTTTTAATTCTTCACATTCTTCTTATTTTTTATCGCAACACTTCGCTCAATTGATCTAAACCACAGAAGAATATATATGATAGACATTTTTAATAGAAATAGTAAAGTAGATCTGAATTTACGTCACTTATATAATACAGTAGACCTCTCGGGCAATTTATTTTGCAAACTGAAGTATGCTGATAGGTTTAAAAGCAAATATAAAATCTTAGAAAACGTCATTAACTCAAAGCGAATACCTTGTGACAGCGGCGAAAGAGATTATCGCAAGTAAATAAAGTAGGGAAAAAGAAGTGGTTGACATGAAATTCTTGAGCTGATGTAAAAGACACAGTAAACAATGCCAAGGAATGATACACTATATATAATGTTAAGCAAAAACATTAGAAAGAAATGTAAGCAAGCGAAAGAAGAACACCCCAGGGAAAAGTGTCCAGAGATAGAAAAACTGTGGTGCATAAACAGAATGATAATAAATTAACAGAACAGAAGACATACTCCTCAACAAAATGCATGAAATCTAAAAAGGAAAAGCGTATAATAGAAAAAGAAACGATATTTCAAGTATTGAACGTGTTGGGATTGGTATGAGTTTGAATTTGGTATCAGAAGGTTTTTGTATTAAGATGGTTAGTTTACGGGCATGTTCACCATATTAATCCACAACAATATAGAATATAGACATTCAAAAACGAATCAATCACAAGGCAATTGAGTAAGAAACATCATTTATGAGATTTCAATAAATTTATGCATTTATGTACAATTAATATACAATTTGAAAACTTGTAGTTTGATAATGTAAGAAATTGACCATTGATAAATTGGGTTTCTTATTGATCTACAGTTTAAAATTGTTTAAATGTTTAAGAACTGGTCAAACAGAGTAAAATGGAAAATATTATTCATACAGAAATTTGTGTAGTTTGTATGCGTGAACAAAGTAGGAGTTTGTATGCATGAATAAAGTATGAGTTTGTATGCGTGAATAAAGTAGGTTTAATTGTTTAAATTTTCCAGAGTTGTTTACCTTGGATTGTTCTGTGTTTGTCTTTGTTTAAAATACAATTTCTATTTTAGTAGTGTGTAAGAACACTTTTCTTAGAAAGTTGTAAGTGAGATGTGAGAAATTATGTTGATGTTTGAGTCAGCAGTTGACGCGCGAAAAATATCTTAAGTCAAAGTAGTGACACGCGTGGATTTGTGTGGCATTTCTCTGAAGTCTATTGATTGACTGGTGAATTGGGTCGAAATGGTCCTTTTTATTTATTTCTGGAAACCAAAATAGGCTCCAGCGAACTGGGCGCGAAAACAGTTTTTCAATAATTGTTACATGTCTCGACCAATAGAAAGTCGAGATTTGCAATGCGAGGTGTTGGTTGGTTAAAACTGATTCTGATGGAAGAGTGTATTTTATCTCAGAGGTGAGTATAAAATATGGACGATTCTATAACGAATACATGAAAGAATCTTTCTACAACAACAGAGGAAATAAACATACATAACAAAAAAACATGAAAGTACTTGTGATATTAAAATCTGAAATACAATCGGCACTGGCCTATATAATAAAAAAAAGAAACAAAAACAAGCAAAGCGTCAGGATCAGATGGGTTTGCAATAGAGATGCTCTCAGCCTTAGACTATTTCGGGATCGATACGATTAACGAAATAATAAGTGCAATATATATATATATATATATATATATATATATATATATATATATATATTATACCGGTGAAATACCGGGAAGATTTCACTAGATATATTTTCACGATGATGACAAAAACTTGGTCAAGAACTAAATCTGACCTCCATCGGTCAGTCAGCTTAATGTGCCACATAACTAAACGTATCATTAGGATACTTATTGTTATGGGATCTTCCCCATAATAATAATAATAATGGACTATTCCATACTTAATAAATACTGCGCCTCAGGAGTAGGCAAGGAAGGAGTGAGTAGTTCAAGTCGAGTCAAGAGTCGAGTCAGAGGCAGTCCGAAACAGAGTCGCGTTCAGACAATTACAATTACTGTAAGACATTGAAGTCGAGACTACATTGTTCTCTCTACTAAACCTGATTGTTCATACTAACACTTCTACTTCTCTATATATATTCCTGTTTGTATTATTGTGTTATTCCATATCCGTGTTCGAGTTCTTCTTTATTGGTTCTACCTTGGACTATCACCGTGGTACAAGGAACCGTACCATAACACTTATGAATAGAGATCGTAGCACAGTTAAACTGGAAATAAGGCAAGGACCTTATGGTTCTGTTCGCTACACGATTGGATCAGAACACCAATGAATTAAAGTGGAATGTGAATGATTTTCTGGGCTCTAAGCAAAAGATTAAGACAGGAAAATTTCCTTAGAAAAAAGAAAAGTGTACTGAAATGCTATGTCATATCTAATCTCCTATATGGCATTCAAGGTTAGACAATTTTCTCTCGGATGAAAATAGGTCCGAAGCGACAGAAAAGTGGTTTTACAGACAGATAATGAAAAATACCAATGGACAGAACAAATGAAAGGAAAAATACCAATGGACTGAACAAGGAAAATGGAAACAACAAAAGACAGTTGAAATTTCTGGGACACACAATGAAGTAAAAGGTCTTGGAAAATTTAAACTCACAGGACAAATAGTATCGATTTGAGGTGTTATCATCCTCTGCTGATAAAGCTGAATGCTTTGTTCGTAAATCCTCCTCGAACACTACCCTTGACTCATCTGGAGTATCCCTGCCTAACTTTCCACTTAAAACTGAATCCCTGTTAAGTGATATGCATATAACCCCATCCATGGTTCATACTATAATCTCTAACCTAGATAAAGAATGTGGACCCGACGTTATTCTTGTAATAATCATTTTGTGTTCCCGAAGTGGCCTGTGTTCTCTCTAAACTGTATAATAAATGTCTCGCTTCCGCCTGCTAGAAGTCATCGTCTGTTGTCCCAGTTTTTAAGGACTCTAGAGAACCGTCCGACCCTTCCAACTGTCTGCCTTCTATACCTTTTTGGAAAACTCCTAGAAGCCCTAATCAATGTTGAATTGGTTTAGCATCTCTCATTGCAAGGCCTTTTCTCAGATAAGCTATATGGTTTCGTTTCTCCAGGTTAACTGCTGATGTACTGACGATAATTGCGGAAAAAGTCTATTATGCTCTAGATAAAAACAGTGAAGCCCGGGCGGTAGCTTTGAATTTCTCAAAAGCCTTTGACATTGTTTATCATACAGGTCTTATGCATAAGCTGAAAAGTTACGGTATCTTTGGACACATTTTGAACTGATCCAGTCTTTCCTGTCAAACTGCGAAATGTAAGTTATCCTGAAGTACTACTCGTCTACGTCCTTTCGGACTAACGCGAGTGTCCCCACCCCCGGGTCCCATCCTTGGTCATACTCTGTTTTTAATTTTCATTAATAACCTTCCCGATGACATCTCTAAATTTGGCATTTAAACTGACGACACTATCATTTACTCATGCCTCGATATTAAGACTGATCAGTCTGACAAGGTCTAAATGGTAGCCAATGCCCAAAACGATCTCCAGCCCGTCGTTAACTGGGGTAAAAGATAGCTTGTTTGCCTCCAAAACTAAACTTCTTTCCATTAATCATCTGGGAGACTCCTCTCTGCCTTCCATCAGTATAGCTGATGCTAACCTCCAGGAAAGTGACTCGTTGCGCCTTCACAGGCTAACGTTAGAGTTAGGGTTAGCTGTCATGAAATGAAAAGACTATATTGAATCCATCGCTAGATCAGCCGCGAAGAAAGTTGGTTCACTGTGTCGTGCGAGACATTTTTTCTCTCCAGAATCTATCTTATATATCTAAAAGTTCACCAGTCGTCCATGCTTAGAATATTGATGCCACATATGTTCAGGTGCCCCTGCTATTTACCTAAAGCTCCCAAAGAAGAGTCAGCAAGAATATTAGTCCTGATCTGGCGGCTCGACTTCAGGCGAAGCCGTCATATGTGAAGACAACAGAGGATATATATGTAGAGACACTGCCTAGTATGACTGGCTAAAACCAGTGTCTCCATTCGAGTTCCCTACGTTAAAGCAAAGTGACCTTGTGTCGTATCCTGACTCAGTAGGGAGTCAAAGGTAAATGTCGGCAGGCACCTGCCTGGGCTAAGTGTGGGATCCTATTGCTAAGTAGTTGATTCTACTGTGACATAGAGAGAGAAAGACCCCCACCCCGAGGTGGATTTAGTAATCAACAGTGCTAAAGAATTAGGATGAAGGGCTTAATTACTTGGGTAGAAGGGATTCCGGAGTAATTCCAGAAATAAGTTTATTTTTTTTTCTTGTTTTTTTTTCTCTTAATAATTGTTTCTGGGGTTGAGTTATTAGTTAATTAAATGTAATAATTCTAGAGTGATTAAGAGACGGATTCGTTAAAGTAAAGTTTGTGATAAATGGCGAATTGGACTTTAAGTGGTTTTGGCAAAACTTAAGTAGGCGTTGGCTGCGGAAGACCCAGCAGGAGGTCCGAATCCGATTTTAGTATCTCTTGAAAACTGGGTTCCCGCTGAGTTTCAGGGACCGGAAAAGCTTGCATGGTGGTCAAAGGCGATTTGCATATTAAAATTCGGGGGCGGTGCCTAAAGATGGTTTAGCTCCGCCTCTCTATATATAAGCTGCCTGCACGCTTGAGTTAGTCAGATCGCAGATCGGAGAGAACGCGGACAGAGAACGCGGACAGAGAGCGGAGAGAAGCGGCGGAAAACGGCTTGGTGGATTTTGCTGGTCTGGTCTGTTGGCTGTCTTGCGTCAAGAAGACAGATCCGAACCAAGAGATAGAAATAGAACCCGTACGAATCCAGATAACTTCGTCAACAAAGCTGTGAGAAAGCAGACTGCTATATCGTAGGCTGCAGACGAAGATCCACGAATTATCTCCCTTAGATCGGCTGAATTCCTATCAGCATAATAATCGTCTTTCTCTCTTTGTGACTTTCCGATCCAAACGAGTGAATCTCGTTAAGACACTTTGTATTCGTGCAATATTTTTGGTAGTGACATAAAAGCAGTAGCCTTAAAAGGCTCTTGTACAGGAACCGAAAGAGTTGCTTATTTTTTCTTTTTCATGTCTTTGCGGCTACGACAAAAAACTTTTTCTGCATGAATAGTGATTTCCTTTCAGCGTAATACCCAGCCATTTTCTCCCCTTCCCACCGGACCGTTCTGGGGAGACCGATACACTGCTGTTCGGATCAAGAATTCACAACGTGGCGAATAGTGGTGGTTCCTTCAATTCACCGAGGTAAGATCGGGTGGATTTCTTTTTCGGCCAGAACCACCGGGGAGACAGGAGATAGCTGCAACAGACAGGGTTTATTACGTTAGACTACTGACTAGGAAACTTTTTCAGGAAGATTTAGAGATCCTGCTTTTTCCAACAGCATGATCCTTTTCAAGACAATATCTCAGCCCCTTGCAATTTCTCTATCACTACACTTGTTTTTTATCACTAAACCATAATTTATAGATATCACCAGTGAGGATCACGAATATGCATTCAATTCTCGATACAGCGAGAATAAACAAAACAAGACGCATCTGAGGACCAAGAATCACCACACCTAAACACATGTAAAGATTTTGTTAGTTTTCGCCAAATAATAAAGTTGGCCTTTGTGAAAGTAAAAACTCTGCATTTGTTCAACTTGTTTGTTCTACTGTTGTTACTTCGTTTTCCTTTTACTTTGGGAGGTCGACATTAATATTGACCCCGCAACAAACTCTTCGCTATGGTACCTAGATTTCATGAGTTTAAGCGAAATACAGACTGGCGTCAAGATCTCATCAATTGACAGTTGAGCTGGTTAGATGTAACTTTAAATTTTATGCTAACAGTTTCTTTTCTTGCTCGTGGACCCAATCCTCCGGCTCCATGCTTTCAAGCCAATTTTAATCTGCAAAAATTTAAATGCACAAGTAATTTAAAGACAACAGTAAACAACGATTAACATAATGAATTGTGCGGTAGAGCGGGGCGGGGGAGAGATATCTTAAAGAGTCAACAGTTACTTAAAGGGGTAAGAAGAGCAATGATCCTACACATCCTGAAGGGGCACGACAGGCAAGAGAAGAGAGAGAGAGAGAGAGAGAGAGAGAGAGAGAGAGATTCTCAGAGTAGCTATTTTTAATAAGATATAACGGCTGATGTACTGTTCGACGTTACTCGATATATTTCAGCAGAAATACTGCTTCATTGTTAATATTCCATGAATTTGTAGGGTGATATTTATGTAAGAAGAATATTTTTATAGGTTGCGTGCAAAATTATATATCCTCCATACACCTTTAAATTTTTCTTCAACAAAGGAACAAGAAGCAATAAACAAATTTGAGAAAAGACAAAAAGCAATATTTGGTAAACAAACAACTTTCATTATAATATAATGATTATATTTTTGTAAATAAAAGGTTTTTACATTATGGCGTAGATTTTTTTTAATGAAATCTAGGTTTGTTTAATTAGTGTTGAACTCACTTTATGCGTATATTTGACTTTAGTTGATGAGTTCAGATAAGAAATGCAGTTTGGTAGAATGTATGAATAAAGTGAGTTGTAGGAGAAAGTTTTCTCTTAGAAAGTTCCTGTTCATTTAAGGAATAAATTTACGTAAAAAACTGTGTGCAAATTTAGTTCAATGAAGTTGTCTTCCTTTGACTAATATTGTGAAACTATGTTCTCGAAAGATTGGAAAATGTAAAGTTAATTCATTTGCAGGAAATAAGTTAAGTTTTCTGCGTAAAATGAATTGGTGAGTGAATGAAGATTTCTTAAAGTTTGTTGAATGTTCATAGAAACGTTAAAACTTAAGATGATGTGACGTGGATTCTTGTGTCAAGTCGTTCGCAGTTACGATGCTCATTGGTGAGTGTGAATGAATTTTTTCTATTTACTTACTTTGGGTGGCTCACAGAAAATAGGCGCCAACTTTAAACTTAATCACGAGCTGAAAAAATACTTGCGTGTTTGTAGCGGACCGTGGTGGTGATGAGTATGTGTTGTAGAAGAACACATGTGGGTAGAATTTCCTGCTAGACGGTCCAACTACATGAGAATATTGGACTTTAATTAAAGTCCAAAGAAGACAAAGAAAACGAACATGACCGATAAATATATGTAAACAAATATATGTATTAATAACAAGTTGAAAGTTACATGGACAGTTACACGGACTGAGTGTGTGTGGTGAATATTATGTGTGTTTGTGTGTGTGTGTGTTGTGTTGTGGTGAGTGTTCGTACGTACGTGTATTGTTCTTAGCGTGTTCCCAGAATTTGGGAAACGCTGTATCTGTGAGAGCTCACATCTGCGAGGTGGTATAAAGTTGAAGGCCTGAGAAAAAAAAAGATCGAGGCGAAGGGTCAGCCAGTATTTATAGCCAGGGGAGAGCGACCCCTGGGGAAGGGTTAAGGAGCTGAGGAGGAGCTAATCCGACATCTTTATTGACCACTCAGAACTCGAGTTTTTGAAAATGTGTGTGAAGCTGGATTTGTTCCGTGATCCGCTTTTTTGCAAAATTGGACAAGTTATTCAAGTGTTTTAAATAATGTAAAATTTGAGTTCTACAAATTATTCGAACTGTATTCTCATAGGTTCTACTATATTCGGCTGATGTTCGGCGTTAATCGATATATTCCCAAATATTTCTGGTTCATTGCCTTTTTATCCCATGGATTATTCATGATAGGGATCTCACTTTTACTGTTTTGATTAACATATTTCTCTTAATGCAATATTCGATTTTATCGATATATCCTAGCAAAAATTAAGGAATTATTGAGTTATTCTATTAACTAATCAGTGTGAGGGAACACATTCTTGCCTTTTTATTACTCTATTGTAGCGATCATCATCACCATCACACATACAGATCATACGGCAAGCATTCATTGGCTAATCTCCTCAGAACTAGCTTGCTGACTGGTCAGTTCCGACCAATCAAATCGCCTGCACGCGAGGAATAATTTTTCCGCGAACAAGGCTGGAGCCTGTCACGTGAGACACATCCTTATATAAACAAAACACAAATAAGCCTCTCTCGTGTTTTCTCTTCATTCATCTTTTTCCTTGCTGCCAAGATGTAATCTTCAAAAGCTCCCGTCTTAACCACGCGGTCAGACGTTAAAGATCATTGCCAACAACTCTTACCGACTTTCTCGCAAGTCGTCAGTAGAGTCCAGCTATTTACGCCTGTCTACACAAATCCACGACTTTACTCACAACGCACACACAGATTTTTGTATCACATTACACATATTCTTCCTCTCCTTGACTAAGCGGAGTTCATGAACCAGAACTCTCTCCTACTCAAAACAACACACTTCTTAATTAACTCTATTCTATTCTAACACTAGACTCTATTCAACATAGAATCCTGAACATTCTTATTCAAGAGAAATTGAAGGGAAGCAACTTTTTCTCCCTTAATTACTACACACCATTGCATGATTGTTTTGTATGGTACTGTTCTAATATATATTTTATTGTTGATGCACAATTGGAGTCTCGTTGTTTTTTTCTTGAATCGTTAAATATATAATAGATAAATGCTCTTAGAACACGTAATTACATTTGATAACCTTAACGCATAAACCAAAGCAGCGTTTACACTATTTCCCCTGATATAATCCTGATATTTTATCGTTATATTCCAACAAATATTATATCTTTATTTTTTGAATTATTCGTAGTTGGGGGGGGGGGTTCTCTTCCTTGCTTTTATTTATCGGCTGATGTTTGATTCTATTTTCATCAGAAATTATTAACCATTTTTATTATTACATGAATTATTCGGAATACTATTGTCAACTGTATATTGCGGCATAAATTGTATCATTTTTATATTTCCACGAATCATTCGTGGTAGATGCTCATCATTGCTGTTTTAATTTCTATATTTTGGTTGATACATTATTCGTCCTTCATCAATAAATTTCCGTCTGAAATTCTGAGTCTTTGTCTTAATGTCACTAATTATTCGCAATAGTCTTCTTGGTCTGTTTTTATCATTATATGTTGTCTGGTGCATTCGTCGGCCATCATCGCCATATTCCGTCTGAAGTTCTGTCATTTTTTGTTTATTATTCAAACAATTTTACTGTTTTTTTTTCTTGTTAGAGCTGATGTCGTTTCTTGAGCTTCTGTAGCGGACCGGGGTTTACGTAAACCCCGGTCCGCTACAGAAGCTCAAGAAACGACATCAGCTCTAACGAGAGAAAAAAACAGTAAAATTGTTAAATTAGGAACACGTGTATTTATTCCTGCTAGAAGAAGGTCCAACTACAAGGACTTAATGGACTCAGAGATTGAATCCACCATAAAGAAGTGTACAGAAAACCAACAAGACCGATATATATATCAACAAATATATATATTAAACAACAAGATTTACAATGGACATAGACATTAACATTTGTGTTTGTGTGTGAACGTAAAGAGTTTGTATTTTGGTGAGTACGTACGTGTATGTGTGTTTCATGGCGTCTTCCCACAAGTGGGCAAAACGCAGATCTCTGCGAGAGATCACATTTTTAAATGTGTCGCTGAAATGTAAAGTAAAAAGAGAACAAGGCAAGAAATCGCCCAGTATTTATAGTGTAGGGAGAGCGTTCCCTAGTGAACAATTAGGAAATTAAGGAGGCATTAACTCCGACATTCCTTTATTCTGTGTTTACAAAGGTACGTTTTTGATCCCCTTTTGTTTTGAAGCTTATGTCTCAGTGGCAATTCAGTATTCAATCTGAAGTCTTCTTGACATTTATCCCACCAAATATTTTTGTAAAATTTCGAGGTAACTTTTGGATATCCACATTTAGTATGTTATGTTTTATTCTTCTAAATCAATTTACTGTTAACGCTATGTTGTGTCCATGCTGTTGATCCAAGGTATTTCACTGCGCCAATGTCAACACTTTCTCTTCCATTTCTTTAGCATTCATGTTGTAGAAAATTCAGTTGTCCGGGTTTTTTATATTAAAAATTCGAGCGTCCGAATTCCAAGCAATAAAAAATAAAAAAAATAAAGAAAACATGTGTATGCCTGTTAAATAAATCATTTGTATGTACATAAATTCCAAGAATGAGTAAAAGTAGTCATTAGTACAGTTAAAGTTTTTGGGTAGTTGGTACACATAAATCTTACTTGAGAAAAGACTTTTAAATAGTTGGACGCAGAAAAAAATGTGGCTCATAGAAAAAAGCAGTGGTTGAGAAAATACCTTTATCGTCATCGAAGACTGACTGGCCGTCTTTGTCTTTTGTTGTTGTTGCAGTTGGTTCGTTTGATGTCACTGACACATGATCGTCAACAAAGATTGAATGATCGTTTAATCCATTATTTTTGCAACTGATTCGGCAAAAAAATAGAATTTTAGTTTTCTCTGATTAATCAAATATTGGAGATATTAATTTCTAACCAACAGGCACTTTTATTTAAACGGTGTGTGTCGTATTATGGAAACTTTTTGTTATATTTGTAATATTGTGTCTTATTGGGTAGAAAATAAACTTTGGGCATGTTTTAATATGGTATATATGAGGGTATGTAATTTGTGTTGGAAATAGGGCTTATTTCCTAAAGATAAGATTGATAAATATTTTATCAATCTGTGTTTAAATATATTTTAAATTTGGTAGGTCAAATGACTTTTCTGTCGGATTTCGTTGCAACGTGTTTTTGTGTGTCTTTATTTGTTGAAACTGGTTGTTGTGCCAGATGAATATATATGGTATGAATAGTATATACGTTGGTATATAATTGTGTTGGAAATTTTCTATATTGTAAACAAGACTCAACTAACAGAAAAATTCTGCATCAGATAAAAATTCACCCAAAGAAGATAGGAGTTTGGATTGGCTGAAACATTTAAAAATAGTTATCCTTCATAAGTCCTGAAAATTTTACAAGGTTTTAGACTTTTTTTTAATCATTTCACCCTAAGCAAGTCGGGAATGTCACTAGTATGCAGCGGCGGCGGTAGTGGTGGGGTTACAGAAAGTGAAAGTGAGAGAAAAGACTGGGTATAGTGGGGTAATGGATAAAAGATGAACGGGATTCAAGACGACAGAAGATGGCGATTGATATTGTATTTCAACTTTTGAAGACGGGAGTTCCACAGGTG